AAAGTGGTTAGCATATGCTACCAATATAGAGCCAGCCCTATCCTGCACATCGTGCTGTCTGAGGTCACTTAGGTTGTTGGTTACTTTAAAAAGAGCTTAAATCAATATGGGTGGCTATTGATGATAGGGCAAAGAAGGTGGGAAGAGCGAGTAGCTAAAATGGAGGATAAGATTGAACAGCACAAGACATAAGTTTCAGCCATATTAGCCGGTAAAGTAGATGAGCTTGAAAAGGTTCGGGACAGTATTAGAGAGGAGGTGTCTTATCTCAAATCTCAGTCAATGAGGAACAACCTTATTTTCACTAATGAACCGGAAGACAACTATAGCGGTAACGAGCCAACGGAAGTGACCGAGCGTAAGCTACGGAAACACCTCCAGGAAGCCTTGAAGGTTGCGAAGGAGACAGGTGACAGTATCCGCCTCGAGCGAGTTCACAGGTCACCAGGTCAGCCGATACTTGGAAAAACCCAGACTATTGTTGCCAAATTTACATTTTTCAAAGACCGCGAGCTAATTAGAAGACAGTGGAAAAATTTGAATGACACACCTTATAAAATGTACCAGCAATTTCCGCAAGAAGTAATAGAATAGCGTAGGAGACTATTGCCAGAAATGAAGGCCGCAAGGGGGAAGGGGGAAAGGTCATGGATTGCATATGATACGCTGTTCATCGTCGGTTAGCCTGTCCGGGAGTAGGGGTGCGCCAGAGGTGAGCTAGCTATCTTGTCATGGAACGTGCATGTCTTAACATCTGATTAACAGGCTCATAAAAACTTTGTAGATATCATTTCAAGTCACGATAAATGTTTTTGTTTGAATCTTGGACAAATTCTAGTAGTAATATTTCTTTAAATGGGTATATTTCATTATTTTTTTAAAGAAAATTTCAAAATAGGGGTGCGCGAAGATGCAGTGGTGGAGTTGTTTTGTATTTTAAAGAGCAATTAAAAGATGATATACAAGTAAAAAAAAATCACCATGATACAATCATTAGGCTTAAATTTGATCGTAATTTTTTCAATACTAAAGAAGATATTTATTTGTGTGGTGTATATATATGGGGTGCAGACTCACCTGCGTACAATACGTTAAATGTTGATTTGTTTGATTTATTAGAAAAATATATATTTTTATACGATAATTCAGGGGCTGTGTACATTTTTGAAGATTTTAATAGTAGAGTAGGAAATAAACATGACTTTATTATATATACATGATACTTTGAATAATGTTTTTGATGAACTTGATTATGACCCCGATAATAGTTCATGCAGGCCTCAATAGACTGTAAACACAATAGCCATGGTATAAGATTAATATTATATCTTTGTTAATCATCATGTTCACGAATAGTTAACGGTCATACCGGGGACACTAATCATCATACTTTTATTTCGCATAACGGGGCATTTGTTATAGACTATGTATTATGTAACGGACGACGCAATTTTTCGCTGATCAATAACTTTAGTATATTATCATTCAATGAATGGAGCGATCATGCCCTTTTACAATTGAAAATATCGTGCAACAATACACCTGATAAAGATATTATGTTTACAGAAATAAAATATAAATGGAATGATGTATATAAACAACAGTTAAGATCAGGAGTCATTGCTAATGTTACCTTTATTTAATGGTATAGTTAATGATTTAGACAAAAGCAGTCGACAGTCTGTCAATAATGCACTTAATAGTTTTAGAGAAGTATTACGAAATGTTAGTGACCCATTATTTTCTAAAACATGTCAGTTTAAAAATGTTCATTGTTTTGAAGGAGAAAGTTGTATTAAACATGCTGATTGGTTTGATATAGAATGTTGGAATGCACGTAATAAGTATTTAGAATCTTTATGGTTGCTTACTATCTCAAAGACAGATTATTTTAGAATAAGGTTGGGTGAAAATAAGTCATTTTATAAAAGTAATAAAGTGTTGTTAGAAAAAAGAAGAGCTTACATAACAGAAAGAAAATTTCTGAGATAGAAAATTTAAAGAAAGATAAACCTAGAGATTTTTGACAATATTTTTAAAAGAAATCGAACAATTTTGGAAAAAATATAACAATGGAACAATTTAAATAATATTTCTAATATAAGTAACGACTTATTTGCTTGTTGCAATGAGGACGCTAATCAGTTTTGTTATAATAATGATTTTATGAAGTCAAATGAAATTTTTCCACAATTAGACCAGCCAATTACAGTTTGTGAAATTTTAACTGCTGCAGTATAGATATTTTATCAGCTCATATCTGTGATTTATTAAATGATATTTTAGATTCGGGTTATTTCCCCGATAAATGGACAGAGGGTATTATAATTCCTTAACACAAAAAAAGGTTGTCACGATGACGTAAATAATTTCAGAGGTATTACTCTTGTTTATGTCAAAATTGTTTACTACTGTTATTAATAATCGAATTGAGAAATTTTGTTACGAACATATCACTTTTTCGGATTCCGTAAAGGAAGGTCTACTGTAGATGCTATATTTGTATAAGTTGAAAAATATTTGAATGAAAATAAAAGATTATATGTTATATTTGTTGATATGATGAAGTGTATGGATTCTATTGGTAGAAATGGTTTATGGTTAAAATGTTTAACTTTGGAATACAGGGAAAATTGTAAGAATTGTTCGTGATATTTACCAAAAAATTTAGTCTCGTGTTAAGCTTTGTTCAACTTATTCTGAATATTTCAAATATGCTGTTGGTTTTCGTCAAGGGGAGGTTTTTCGTCAAGGGGAGGTAATGTCACCTCTAATATTTTCCATTTTTGTAGAAGACATCGAATTTTATCTTCAACACAATCTCGACTCAGGTTTTATATTAGATGATATTGTTTTTTAATACTTTTACTTTTTGCAGATGATATGGAAATTTTAGGCAAAAGCCCTGAAGAAATGCGGGAACTATTAGATCTTTTGTATTTATATTGAAACAACTGTGGCCTTAAAGTAAATACAACAAAAACTTAAATAATGGTATTTAGAAAAAGAGGTCGTATTTTACCGACCGAGCAATGGAACTATAATGGCCAAAATATTAAAGTTGTTAATGATTTTAATTATCTTGGGACAGTTTTTTATTATACGGGCAATTTTACATTAAATCAAGAATATTTGAGTGTTGAGTGGTAAAGCTTAAAAGACAATGAATGTACTTCTTTGTGAATTGAAAGAATTTGACCTTTCTCCCAGAACATTGTGTCAGTTATTTGACTCATTTGTTTCATCGATATTAAATTATTCATGTGAAATCTGGGGATATACTTAATCTATAGAGCTAGAAAGAATACATTTAAAATTTTGTAAAAGGTTATTAAGAGTTCAACCTAACACTTGTAATGGTAGTGTATACGGCAAACTGGGAAGATATCCCTTATATATTCATGGGTTTGTAAGGATAATAAAATACTGGTTAAAAATTGTAGAAACTGATAACATAATCCTTGAGACCGTATATAATCAAGCTCTAGATGATAGCAACAATGGTCATAAAAATTGATTTCTAATGAAAAAAAAACCTTTGAATGATTAGGGATTTGCACATGTATTTGATTATGTTAATATTATTGACAACAAATATTTTTATTTGAATTTAGAAGTCGTGTTATTGATTCTTTTAAACAGGAATGGTATGCTTCTTTAGATAATAGTTCTGTATTGTATATGTACAAAAATGTTAAATGTAGTTTTGAGTATGAACTGTTATTTGGATTCTTGCAAGATGTTTTTAGATTTTATTTCTGTAGATTAAGAATTGAGTAGTTTGTCTTTTGAGAATACAACTGGCAGATATTCTAGAAATGAATTGTTAGAGAAGAAAGTGTATTGTTTATGCTGTAATGCCCTCAGACTCACTTTGAAGATAAATTCATTTTGTTTTGTATATGTCGTTGTTATGCAGAGTTAAGAAAAAATATTTGAAAATTAAATATACCAGAAACCCGTCAGTTTATAAATTTTACAATTATTGAACTCAAATAGTAAATAAGAATAAATTCAGTTATCCAAATTTGTTAAGGAAGCACTTGCTTTGAGAAACACACTGTTAAATGTTGAGCGTTAAACATCATAATAGCTCATTCTCCTTTTCGTATGTCTTTACTTTTTTCATTCGTAGTATACATATTTATTGTCTAATTTTCTTGTTACTAGATAAATTAAGATTAAGAATTTTGAAAAAAATGTCATGATTGCTATTACCATTATATTGACGTTATGCTTGTAAAGATTATTGTATTATAGATGATATACTGTGTACAAATATTAATAAAGTATCTGTTCTGTTCTGTTTATTTTTGTATTATAATTATTATTATTATTATTATTATTATTATTATTATTATTACTATAAAATCCATTATGATGGACTGTTACAAAATAAAGGCAAAACAATTACTCAAATTCATTAGATAATAGGTATCATGTCAGTTTTTGTTAAAAAGTAAAGAACCTACTGTTCAGTCTTCAATTCCATTGGTTTTAATGCCTATATAACTATTGCTTCACCAATCCCAGGCTAAATTTTAAATGATAAAATTTAATGCTGATAATTTTTACACTTTTACTCTTTTCAGTATATCTTTTTTTTTTAAATAAATTTGTATTTTAAAAAAGATGCAATTCTTATTTACGGATTGTTAATAATTATAATCTTAACATACATTAATTTAAAGACACAAAAATATTGATTGGCACTTATTTTAATAATCTTTAATTCTTAAATGTTTTATGTCGTTTTCCTGCCTAACATTTACTTTTTGTCCTTTGTTTCGTAGTAAAGTACGTTGAAAACCAGTTTTGTTACGAGTTTATTATTCTGTTATAACAGTTTTTAACGAGAAGTCGTAATCTTATTGTAATCATACCTTTATAACCTTAACTATAACCTTTACGACAATCTGTAAAAAAAACGTTGGTTTAGGAAAAACACCAATGACCATTTTATGGCACTTACGAAATATATTCAAACAAAACACAAAACATTTCATTTAGATTGATTTTATTATTGCATTGTTCTTTATGGAAAAGTACTTGTAATAAAATACTTTCCAAAGCTGTACAAATAACATTGCATGAATAAGCTCTGCTGTAATACATAAAAATAGACAAAACATTTATAAGCAAATAAGCATTATAAACATTGAAATGATTATTTTGATTGCACGTCAAAATTTCTATTTCTATCATATCAAAGTATACTTTGTTTCATCTAAGTCTGCATTAATATTAATAAAACAGATGATTTTTTACACGAAACACACAGATAAGTATATTGATTTATTAATATAAAATAGGATATCATCCATGCAACAAACTACTTGGATTCTCGAAACGCAAGTTAATCGGTTAGATAAACTAAGTTAAAACCAATTTTGAGTGAGGTTTAGATTTGGTTTAAAACGGACATACAGTTTCAGGAATGTATTAATTGTCTTTTGCACACGTGCAGATTTCATTTTATACTATGTATATGTAACGTTATATTAATAAAATACGGGAAGTATAAAATTAAAAATAGCATGCGTTTTTCTCTCTAGTTAACTTTTTTACAGGGAAAAATATTTGTTCTTTTCTACGTACTCGTATTTCACACAGGTAATATAAAAATGAAAGTAAAGATTAACAAAAACGTGTAACGTTCACAGAACGCAGCCCCATATTCTGCAGCAACACGTAAATCAGACTGACGACAAAAAACGGCCTTTCGAAGGCCATACACTGTATTGAAATGAAGTGAAAATGTTAATGCAGTTAAAAAAACTTATCGCATATTATATATATTACGCATAATATATATTACGAAGTTTATTACAAGCAGATTTTTAATTTAAAGCAAATGTATTTCAAGTGCCTCCAGTAAAAGTCCCAGATAGATAATACTAACGGTTAATTGCATTCTACTTATCATCTCCATCTCATAATTTGAAGCCGTATGATTTTAGCAATTCTGGACGTATAACAAATATTTTACTTGATAACGCCACTTTCTATTACAAAGAAAAAGAATTTTAAATCAGTAAAAAATAGTTTTCACTGATTATGATACAAATCTGCATATTTTAATATTATTTTGAATATTAGAATTAGCTATATTTCACAGTATGTAAAAGGGTCTGTGCACTTTTGATTTTAATTCTCATTTTCTATGAGACAGATATGCCATTTTTCAATGACATTAGCTTATGACTTCCAGCAATTACAAAAACGACCATGATTTGTTAAATGGCACAAATGTGTTGAATACTAGAATACTATCTTTTGTTTCAAGTTAGTAAGTAAGCACAAGTTTTAAATCAGCTGGTTCTGGTACAAGCAATATACACTTAATCACATTTTGTCTTTAACGACTGCTCTTGCCTTTGACATCCCTAGGACCTTCTTGACTTGTGTCGAATATTTAAATGAGCGAAATCTTCTGAAGACAGTCCCCGCTTCTGTTTGCGAACATCACTCACTATACTAGCCAGATCTCGTCTTCCAATATCAAACAAGGCTTGTATCAGTTTGTCTGCTAAGTCCGGTTGAGTCTTTCGACCTCTCCATTCGTATAAGACATAAAAAGAAGCCAAAGAACTACTGTGGCGGTACATTCTATAAATTTGACTAATCTTTTCAGGTTTTAAACCAAGACATACTCCTAGCAGACTCCCTTCATCACTTATGATATATTTTGCAAGATTAACCAAACTATTTCTGTTCAGAATCTTCAAGGACGCTGAAAAAGAAAGAAATTGTATAAATATCTTTGTCATCATGCACAGAAAATCGTATTTAAAATACTCGTTTTTTTTTGTAAGAAGTAGCACTTGATCGATGAAAAATAATCGTTTCAAAAAGGTGTGTTTAAATATTGAACATAATGGATTACATATAGCTATGCTAATGGTGTAATTGTGTTTTAAGAAAATATCAAAATCATAATAAATTTCAAAATTGTGATATATTCTACATGCTTAATACAAACTGTACAAATACAAGGTGTGGTGCGTAACAAAATGACAAATCAAACAGAAAAAGTAAAAAAAGTAATACCCTCGTTGTCAGGTTCCGTCGACTCGCTTTCGTCTTTGAATGAAAAGGAGAAAATAACAGAATATGAATTTGAGATTATAATCTTGACAATTACTATATATTCTCACGTTTTAATATTACGTTGTCCAGTAGACAAAAATGAAAAATGAAAATACCTTGTTTTAGGTTCTTGTAGGGCATTAAGGCCATGGTTTACAAATTTATAACAGGAAGGTTCGAAAGATACTGACTGCTAAATAATAAATATAAGCCACTATGAATGAAAACTATATACCTTGTGATACTGAACATGACGACGTTTCTCTCATAAGTGACGGTGTAAAACCTGTAAGTACAAGAAGTAAATAATTTATATCATAGCTAAAGCTTATTACATTAAACTCTCGTTTTGGGCACTACAATTTCTCCCTACCTATGTTAAAGAAACAACCAAACTGAAATAAGATATCTGTGTTTGTTAAATTATTGATCATTGACATTTTGAATATTGTGTCTTTTTTTAATTTGCATTTAATTGTTTAGTTTCTGACAATGCTAGAATCAATTGTGTTATATCAAAAATGTTAAGAACAGATTTAAGTCATGCCTTGTTTATTTGAATAAAAAACGTTTCTAACATGCTCAGCTATATACACATAGAGTACATCTAAACAAAATAGCTTAACTGTTCATGCTTCATCACAAGTTTGCAGAATAGTATGTTTGAAGTAAAAGTAACACTAAAAGTGGTATTAGTTGTATAAGTATGTTCATTGTTTATACGTGTATAGTCATATAAAAATAAAAGTACAAATCTACTACTATTAAGCTTTTATACACACAGATAGCAATTCAACTTAAACTACAATAAATATAATAAAAAGTACAACAATAAAATGTTGTGAACATAAAATTGTATCAAAATGAAGAATCTGCTTAAGCGAAAATTAAACTACAAAATAAAAAAAGGTGATGCATAGCTGAAAACATTTGAAAGTAAAACAGTGTACGGTATAGAAACTATAAAAAGATTGCTGTGACACGATATATCTAGCAAATAAACGAAGTTTTACAATGTTTTCACCATACCATGTTTGTTGCTGTCTTCAAATTGTATTGTTTGTGAACGCAATACTGTTTCTTTTTTACCTAGTTCATTATTAAAAAAGTAATGTTCAAACATTTGTTTCGTTACTACAATATAAAGATCATATCTATTATTGTTTTTACAATTTGTTTTTAACAGGCAATGAATATGATTTCTTTATAATATCAAATACGACTAGAATTCATTATTTCTATTTCCCGTTTTGTAAATGTAAGTTCTTATTAAATGGAGTGATACAGGATATGCGTTATATAATGCCAGATGATAAAAAATTAGTGTCACAAAATGTTCAAAAGTTAGTAGATTCCATAAGACTATGCATGTGTTTACAAATATATATATTAATATGTTATGTAATACATTTTTTAAAGTTTAGTTACATTGTTATATTATACACAGGAAATATTATGTCTGTCTTGATTACGTGAGTATTTTGATAAAGAACGGTTAAATTTTTGTGCATAGGAAGTTAGTGTACAGCAACTTTGTTGGGGACATTTCCCATTCGCGTTCAGTCAAACTAAAATTACACATGAAGCTTAAAAAAAGGTTTTGAATAAATTTCCAATGTACATATATATATTATAATCATTGGTGTATTTGCATGTTTGGAAATGTGTCTTTTATTACAACGAAGAAAGATAAATTGTTAAAAATTTTCTAAACTACATATTTGAACTGAACGATTGGTCTTCTCTAAAAAATGTATTAGCTACAAGAAAAAAAGGCGTTTCTGTGATTACACGGATACAACACACGTACTAATTTTGTCCTTAATGACCTCTGTCTCCTTCTCCGGTTGTGGGTCTTCCTTTGACTTCTCTGAAACTAAAACATGCCCTTATTTGTTATTTTCTAAACTGTTTTCTGTACCTGCATTATGTTGCTACGTCTATTGTATCATTATAGTTTTCATGTTTAGTAAATTCAGATTATTCACCTAAGTTGTCGATATTGTCTTCAAGATTATGTTTAATGAAGGTCAACAACTCTGTAAAAGCGACTGCAATACGCAACATTAAGAGTATAATTTACACTACATTTTTAAAGCATGTTTGCACCAACGTGATGTTATTAAAGCTTTTTGTTGCATTAACATTTTTCAAAGCACATTTGAGATTGTTTAGAGTATCCCTCCTTCTTGAAGCACAGACAACATAAAGAATGACATAGAAGTAAACATTAACAGACACGAATTGACAAAAGCTATTAGTTAGGACTTAATCCAAGAACAAACATCACGAAATACAAAAGAAAGTTGAACAATCACCAAGAATCTCGGATTGTTGATTAGGACAAACACAACAAAAGAAACAAATATTTAGATTAAGAAAAACAAAACATAGAAAAGATATCTCCGTCAATGTCAAGGTCGTTTGCATACCTTGGTAGCTATCAAAGACCTCGTCATCCGTCTCGGGAGAGGTAGGTGGGGTGGGCGCTATATACCCTTGTACTGTAAATACACCGCAACCTTTGTTATATGTTTGTGAGATAATGTAAAATAGACTTGAATTAAATGTGACAAAGAATTATTAAACCGTGCTCATATGCTATAGACATATGATCTAAATCTACAACTAAAATATTAAAAACATCACATTCAGTAATCTTAAAACACAGTTTGGAGAGATTGAATGGTTAAGGAATTTTGCTTATTCATTATTTTAATTATTTAAATCCAACAATTAGAAATAAGATCAATAAATTATTTTGAGAGTTTGTAGATAATAACGACATTAATATAAAGACACGATTGGAAATCAGTGTGAGGCTGTTTATAAAAATATACCATACAAATCTTAACTCCAAACTAGATTCAAGATAAAAGTTTTCTAAACATTGTGAAAACTTATTTCACTCTATTTTACAACAAAATGGCTACTCAATTAATTAGCTAAAACACACTTTCTACAATTATGATCTAAACCAGTTATAAAAACAAATAATGCTAGTGATAGTAGAACAGAGTGTCAAATAGTAATGGTTTAAGAGTGACAGCAACATAAAACGAACTTATTCGTTCAAAGTTAATGAGGTTTTGAAATATGGCGTCTTTGCCTTATTTGTTTTAAAGATTTAGCTGCTTATATCTCAGATGAAATGGAAGTTGTATTTTTCTTACGTTGTGTATTCTAAAGAGCACTTCTGCATTTTTATGTCGTGTATATTTGCGATTACTTTCTGTGCGTGCTTGTTTTTTGTTTTCTTTTGAATGATCATGGTATTATTGAAAAGTTATGTTGAATAATCATATGAATTCATGCTTTACTCAAGGAATAAGACTATCTATATTTTAAATGTTCTTTGAAAGTTAAAAATCATTCTCAATATTTGACATATTACAATGTTTTAAAAGTGTTACATTTAATGAAGTACATTCTCAATCCTCCTCTTGACGTTTTTGCATTATGACGTTTCCTTAAAAGCCCAATTACAACTTACTCATTTGTTTATCTTTATTTATTATGTTTAATAAGCTTCCCAATTTCAAGAACTTCGTTTTTGTTGGACTACTTGATGGCCATAAATGACATTTACAATGAATATTGATATACAGAAAATCATATTGCATATTGATATTGATGTTTATCAGGTCATCCACTTAAACTTATCTTTGAAATTATGCCATTTTGAAAAGAACGGAATATTAAAATTGAGTAGGTTAACTATGTCATGTTGTCCTGTTTTTTTTACAAACCTATCCTTGTTATATGACGCATATGTCACTTATCAATCTAGCAATTCACAGTTAGGAGAAAAATTCATTATTACTTATTTTAAACAAATAATTTCTTACAAGTTGGAAGCATAAGCATTCTTATCTCGTACATGTATTTATGACATTTTGAGTTTTAATCATAGAATTTTCTGTATAAAATGATATGGTGATAAAGTGTCGTCTGCAAATATTACAGATATACATTGTATTGTTTTATGAACAAACAATCAAATAGAATTACAAAATATTAAAGCTATGTCAAAGATCAAACGAATATAGTTTTTCCGAGGTATTTTTACAGCTAAATGCTTGCAAATTTTAATAATATGCGAACGAAATGAGAGATAAAATCTACACATACTATCCAGATATTAAACTAAAAAGGGAAACAACTCTTACCGATTAATGCTAAAATATCCGCCACATTACAGAAGTAGGTATGAAGAACAGAATTATCTCTCCCTAGCCGAAGAACAAACGTTATTCGTCCATTACAATCGGCTATATTTACTGGAAATCTAACGTAATTGTCAGAACCTTCAAGATACGTTAACGTATAAGCGTCATCTGGGATATCTGGATCAAGTGAAACACTTCCTTTAATTTCAAGTTTAATATCGTCCGCTTGTTTTAGCAGACGGTCTGGAGATTGGCTTTTTGGAAGTTCAATCAGCCCGATTTTAGTTTTGTCTTTAATAACCTCAGATAGTCTGTATTTTTCCGCGCAGACGACACTAAGTACTATTTGATTAACGTCAACTTGAGCTTCATGTGTGGCGTTCTGGTTTTCTACAAAAATAAGAAGCTTGCAGAGTTGTTTTTTGCCAAGCAGAACCTCCATCTCTCTCCGTACATTTGCCTCTGTACCTGAACTGTATGTTCTATGGTCAACAGTTGCTAAAACAGTTCTGAAAATGAATGCAAAACAGCCATCATAACTTACTTTTAAATTAAAATGTACATTAAGAAATGATTTACTCAACAAACGATTACTCGATGATTACTTTACCAAAAAGTTGTGATTGTCTTCTCTGTTAATCATAACTAGTATTTAAATGTTTCTGGAAAGTTCGAACCGTATCTGCTAATTATTAAATAATCTTGTTTAGACGTAAGTGGAATAGGATTTGTTATGTTTATACAGGAGAAATTGATACATTTATTGGGATTTCGGCAATGAAATATTATACTGATTATGGGTAACGGCGAGATGTTCCAAATAAAGTGAAAACTTTCAAACAAATGACTTAAATTTCTTAGATTGATTTTATGAACGATTAAAGCTTTCTTATATATAATTATAGAGTTGAGTTCACGTTCCACATCTAATTATAAGATACACAATTCAAAACAACAACACTAAGTGATTGTCAAAACCTATAAAAAGACTTATTTTTCACCTACCCGCCATTACCGGAGTTCACCGTAAAAACGTTTTCATCCGTTTCTTGTAACAGTCCCTCGCTATCATTTACTTCTATATTGTCACGTGTGTATTTCAACACAAGAATTTTAGTATTTGGATCACTAAGTACAGTGAATGGAATTTTTATAGATATATTCTTTTCCTCCATGCTGACTCCCTCTATTTCTATGGCTTGTGATGTGGCTTTAATGTGTTTAAAATCATCAGGACACGCATCTCTGTATTGTCGCTCGGCTGGAGTGTCCGTTGGTTGTACCTATTTACAACATGAAAGAAACAATGAAATATATATTCCAATCTCAAACACTATTTTCTTAAAATATATTTAAACAAAATAAGTAGTTATTGATTCAGAAGAACATGAATCAGTATTTATAAGCTCTAAACTGGAATTGTGACAATATGTACAATTTGAGAGGATATATAATTTTACAGAGATTGTATGATTAATTTTAGAATACAACAAAGCATTCACCATCATTTTGACTAGAGAGGATTTTGACATTCTTCCTGCAGGTATATTTGCTTCCATATTCGGGTCATATGGCGTGGTAAGCTTTCCGCCCTCTGGTCCAACCTTTTTCGATGTCATGGGACGTTCTTCTATTGCAACAAAACCCTCCAAAGTACATCCATTGAACACGAGAAAATCACCTTTACTGAAACTTCTCTGAAATACAAAAAACAATGAACTGATGATGATAATGATGATAATAATGCAATGTCAATTACACCAGCAACAAATCATCAGCATTTACGTGACGTATATCTTTGTCAAGAGAAGAGGCACTTATGAAACCGTAACAGATGTCTCTTGTGCCAATTCAATTCCTGACCTTTTAGATATATTACGAACTTAATGGTGAATTTGAATTGGAAATGATGATGATAGATTTACGTAGATTAGTTGGAAATTATCTCAAATAACTGATATAATCATCAGTTATCATAATTGCAAATCTCCAGGAAGTACTTTTTTGATATGTTGAAGAGCATTTGAAATGAACTGCCTACTCAAGTGTATAAGATGCTAGATTTCTGTACTGGTTGGAATTAGAAAAAAGTCAATCGTCAATCAAATCTGTGCAACATATCACTTATGAAATGAGATAACTCGCTAACATATAAGCATTGATTAATCTTTTTATCTCAAATTCCAATTCACCCTAATCTGTCAATAAAGGTCATCACGCAAGACCGTGTGATTGAAGAAGACTCAAGCAGTATCATATATATATATATTTACACTGTATTTTACTCACGTCATATTGCCCTTCCCGTTCCTCCCATTTCTCGCCGACTTTCACTTTAATGAAAAGTTTCACTTTAATTTCATCATAACGCTTTGTCAATGGGCAATGAATTCTTATTCCTTTCCAAGAAACTGGTTTTTTCCCGTACATAATAAATATGTCTGAAATTAGTTTCTGGTTCTCCCTTAGACTGATTTCTTCCAAGTATCCTTTACGTTGTTCGTTCGGACAGTAAGCAAGTCTTGTATTTGCTACGTCAATCCATTTATAAGGCTGGCATGATGCTCGAACAAGACAAGAGTTTTTGATCTTCAAAGGTGCAAGAGATGAGTCAGCAATTTCATCTGGCAAAGATCTGAAAATTTAATATATATGTGAGCTGAGCGAATTACTCAGGCCAGTAAGTGACTTAAACTTAAAAGAGTGTGAATTTGATATTTATATCGGACAAAGATGTAGAAAAATGCAAAACCGAATTAGACATATTTTAAATATAGATTGATTAATACGTGCAATTATTCATTTTAACTGATATCTATCTACATATTTATTAATTTGACAAATTGTTTAGCTAAGGGACATACAACAACAGACAATCAAAAATGTGTACCGATAAAAGCTTTTGCTTAAAGGCAGATTCTGTAAAAATACATTGGTGAAATATATATTAACTGCTAACTTATTTACATCTTTATCGTATTTTGGTGTACATGTAAATTATTTTACAAAAGTGCCACATATGTAATCTTTATCAAAATTTAAATACTAGACTAAAGTGTCAAATATGCAAACTTTTTAAAATAAAAAAAGAGTACCAGTCAATAACTTACGAATTTGATGACAGAGAAAGTACATTGAGCGTTTTTGGCACGGTTTGATCTTTATCCTCATTATTTATGTTGTTAAACTCTCGTTTAGCCTCGTCTAATCTCGCGGAGACTCTTGGCGACAAAAACGTTTGGTCTGTCCTAAAGTAAAAACAAAAACAGTAAAAAAAATGAAAATCCAAATAATGCTGCGATGTAAATAATTTTACTGAGCAACAATATATCACCATATCCTTAATAAAGAAATACTTGAAATGCCTTATCCATTTCAATACGAATAAACATGTCCGGGTATATAGCCATTGTAAATACACGTTTATAAGCATAAAAAAATTACAAAATTAAGACAGGATATAGAAGCTAAGACTTTAACTTTAAAAAAGAATTATTTATGTTGTAAAATGGTAATTAAAACTGATAATATACAATTGTGGTATCAAGATTTTACCTCACTTTAACACCATTCTGAACCAACTCTAAGGCAAACAAAATCCACTGTCTTAAAAATGGCACAATAACTGGTTCCAACTGCTCCCTAAAACCATAAAAGTTGATGCACATGTTATAAATCATATTTATATTTTAGAGATATCAGGAAAAATGACATGAAATGAATCTCCAATACAAAGTCATTAAAAGGACATGACTTTTGTTATAACAATTTAATGACATTAAAAACAAGATTAAATATCAACAAGGCAAAGGCAACGTTAACAGGACATATAATATTGTAATTTCATAATTCAATGTACAGATCGTTGGTCTTAAAACAATACTTAATTCAACTTTTTTATCAATTGAATACATATATCATTTGGTTTATTGGTATAAGCAAAATTTATAAAGAAACTGGTAGACAGATAAATAACTCGAGTACAACTGGTGATGCTAACTCATAAGTAACAGAGACTTACGCCATTGCCAGAAATTCTCCTGGTTCAACAAGAGCCTTTGAAAGACGAATACATGATTCAGCAAAACAGTCAAAACCTCTGAAAATAAAATAAATGATGTTGTCATTTGATGAATGATTACAATGTTATAATTAATTTGTCTTGACTTTGTTTCTGTTTCACTTGGCTTTTCAGTAACACATTGAACACAATGGGGAAGTGTAACTGCCTTCAAGTTTATGTCGTTTTGTCCTTTTTTGTCTTGTTTCTTTCGTTTTTCTTGTCTTTTTCTGTTGTTTTTGTGTGAAAACGCTGATGACGGTAAATAATAATGAACTGTTTTGTAAATACGTCAATAATATCATATATACACTCAAAACCGTAAGAGACAATAATTCTGGTCTGCTGTAGCTGTACATATTTAAATTACGCTTTTAATACAGAATGGACACGTGAATTCTATAATGCTCTATATATTACAATGCTTGCTAAATAGATAGTTTTTTGTCATTAGCGTTTTTGTCATTACACTAGCTAAATAGCATATATAGAACTTTGTATAGCATATATAGACCTTACCTGAGTTGTGATTCCACTGAACAGTACATACACATTCCAACTTGAATTACAGCCGGTACAAGATCTAACATAGCTCGCATGTATAATGGAATCTGTCGTGTACTTAGTAATCTGAAAGCACAAGTATAATATATATCATGTAAAAATTCAGAAGTTATAGGAAAAGAAAACTATTTATTTTGGTAATTCAATGATACTATTGTAGACTTTGGGAAATATCAACGATTTTATCATTTAAATGCAAAATCAAGGAAGGATACAAATTAAGACATACATGGTTAGTGAGACCAATTGGATTAAACATTGATGCTCACCAAAACTAACCATGTCTTTTTACTTCCAAGGGTTCGAAAATTTTCTATCTCAAAAACTCAGCAATCGATATATTATACTATGTAAGATAAAACAATAAAAGACGCATTTCGAACTTGTATATCATTTATTTTTGTTTTAGGTACCAGTATCAGCACGTAGTTGTAAAGGTTTAAGAAATATCCCGCAAAAAAATATTTCAAGTAAAATCTATTCATTTCTTTAAGACCACCAATATTCTGAAAACATTACTTACAAATGATTACTATTTTCGAATATGAAAAGGAACGGTGTACAATCTGTCCAAAACAAATCTATCTGGCTCCTGGAATAAAATATTGTGTCAATCCTTTAAAACAGTAAACTTTCTTATGGTTAAGTCATTATTGAAGCTATACATTCAAGTACATGAAAGCTATTCATGTATATGAAAAATATAGATGTATAACAACTCGCTAAGAAATTTTAATGAAATGAGGAAATAAACAATGTATGTCTGACAATGACGGTAATCAACATGAATTTAAGTCTATGCAAGAGGTTAGGAACTCTGTGTTCGTAAAATATTTAACTAGTTATTTACTTGAATGAATAGTGACTTATTTATGTTATATACAACACAAGCTTTTTATATAGTCAAACTTTCGACAGATGTCATCTAGAGTTAAGTAATAGCTTAATTAAACAAACAAACAATGTTTCAAGACGCAATCTGCTTTGATGAAGCCTTATACTTACTGTTTTACAGATAGGCTCTCACTAGGGTTAACTAGAAGCATATCTCTAACTATACCAAGAATCTCACCAACCTCGTACAGAATTCCCATATATGATAAAAATGGAAAATTAGATGCTAACCTGAAATAAGGAAAAAAACCATCTCATTAAAACATCACATTTCATCATTACATACAGGAATGTATTTCATGATCATGATGATGATGATGATGATGACGACGACGACGACGATGGTGATGATGATGATGATGATGATGATGATGATGATGATGATGATGATGATATGAATATATGTGTTGCTTTTAACGAGGAATCAATATAAGTTGTTTTAGTCATTTTTTTAATCTGTATTTCAATAAAAACACTTGTTTTAACTTCTTTTATAAACGAAAGAGGTTGTATTAAATTGACAAGCTAATGAAATTAGCTGTTTTTTTCCACGACAGGTTACAAATTATAACTTACTATTATAAAATAAACCTACTTTTGTTTATGGAATGTGAGGTAGGACACTAAATGGTTACAGATCTTGCCGACAGAGAACAGAACGTCATCAAAATACATAGCTGGCTTGTTAAGAAACCTGTTGAAAACAAATAGATTTACAGAAAAAAACACTTCATTTCTCTAATGACTTGTTTTATTAAAAAGTATTTGTAAACTTAACAAAACTATGAACTATTATTACTTAATGTAAAACAGGTCATTTTTTACCTTGCAAATAATGGAAACTAATAAGAATGTTTTAAATGACAATTCATTGTTTTATTTCATTATGATTGCAAAAGAGATCACATGTAAAACATACAATTGAACAATTATAAAACTTTCACAATTTCCTATGATTTTAGTATGTGATTATAATTTACTACATATTGTTTATCCTTTTATTTCACTTTATCGGCCATCAAGCTAGCAAGAATATTTTGATATGATATATACAACTATATTATTTACCACATATTTTGTTTCAGCCAGACAGCACCCTGTCCGTCACCTATCTCGATAGCGAGGTCCTGTAACCTGCTACTGAGATACTCTAGCCGCCTCTGACACGTCTTCAACTCCTCATTCCGACCACGTGACAAATTAAACGTAGCCATTCTATTAAGTCTTCTTTCCCTACTCTGTTTTCATATTAATCACTGAAATGCAATATTAAACTTTATCTTAAATTTATCATTAACCAGCTCAATTGTCCCTGCTTTGAATTTTGAACAGTCCATAGCAAGTCTAAGGGATTTCAATATCAAAATACAAGAAAGCTACTAACATGTAGCCTTGCTTTATACTTGTAGTAAATCACTTTGATTAAGCCCGATTTGAATTCGCTCACTGTTGTAAACCTTTACAAATACCAGCCAACCATCTGTATTGAGTTGTACAAAGCATTAAGATTATCCACAGTTTTAGGTATCACTCTGGTATGTTTTTGCCTTCAATATGATTGTCAGTCACATCTGGATTATTACAATAAAATTCAAAACAATCAATAAACTTATACAACCACATTTTAATACATCTTTTTAACATTGCTGGACATTATCAATTATCATTGCCTAATTCTGTATCAGTATAATAAACCATTTGAATATTTTCATAATTTCATTCTATGGCGGGTTATTTTTTCTCTATAAAACAATGTTAAGCTCCATTATCATATTTTATACTTTCCCCTGAAATATTTTATTCGGTGTTGCTCTTTGTCACTTTAAATAATTTAATCTCTTAGAAATTAGAAAGTTATACCAGTTTAAGCGCAAAATTTTGTACTTAAATCTCAAATCAAACCGTCACAATTTAACGGGATGTAACAAAGTTCACATGACCACACGTTGAAGTGTGTACAGTACTATAACCTTTTTTGTAGTATATTTCGGCCTAAATTATGTCAGCTATTTATTTAGGAGGAATTACAGTAGCCAAAGAACTATAATTAAGCTCTTTATAAGAACATAATGAAAAGTTAAGTACATTATAATCAAACGTAACTTAAACCAGACCATGTTTTGAATGATTTTTGACATACGCCCAAACGTGATTAGATTGTAAATAATTTCAAATTTAGACAATGTCAGATACATTTCGACCTGTCTCCATAGCTGTTGAATTTTAGCAACCATTGAGTGGTTTAAATATATTTTATTTCTCAACATAATGAATGAAGCAATATTTAATCAAACGACATTTTACTAGTAGAAGTAAAGATAGTATAAAATTTCACCGATTGTAATCACTACTGATTCTATTTCATGTAGCATTACATTTCTTGAAAGTAAGATTGAACATTTAGTTTTTATTTTATCTGATAAACTTCATTTTGATACTAAATGCCAACATGACATGACGATGAATGAACTATGATATTTCTTTATGTAAGATTCATGTTTTCTTTTATTCGCACTGTTATGAATTTTAATAATTTAAAGATATAAACAATGTATCGTAAGAATACACTTTTATCATGATGATTTTATAATACAATTATATGCTTAAAATGTTTACATGTGTATTATGTAAGAATGACCACAAATGCCTTAAAATAGTATGATTATAGAACATCAAACAAAATAAAGTCAGAGCAATCCGAACATTAACCTATCAACAATATGTACAAACTGAACATTAGTGTCTTCACGCAAAAGCATACGAAAAATGAACACATGATACATGCAGTTAAAAAAATACACAATAACAATCTACTATGATTTATAATTACGAAATGGTTGTTGTTTCATGCATTATCCTCAATTATCTATGTATGTTTGCGAGTTTGTTACCGAACATTATAGCATAATTATAAAGATTAGCGTCTGAAAGATTGTGCTCGTCTACTTTAGTCCTATATCACCAAAAAAACCCCAACAAAAAAGCCACTATTTAGTTACACACAAACATGCTTTAATATAAAGAGAAAAAATGAAATTATCTTTTATTTTCATTACATATACATGTATTTTCAATTGATCAATATATCAACGAATCAGCTGTTCTTTCAAACCACAAATGTGCGTGTTTGTTCATTAACATGTTCTAGTTTTACATGCACGATATCAAACAATATTTCAGATAGCAAAAAATATAGGCTAATATAAATGCTGCAAGGTCGTTATTTGACAGCGCGCCAAAAACGGTTCATTCATATCGCGGGTGTAATAACGAAACATAACAAAACATCAAATGAAAGATATATATCATATAAATGAAAACTTATTATTATAATTCAAATGTTGAAAAGCTTCTTTTGAGAAATGACATGAACATCTAATCTGAATATCGCCCAATTTAGTATAATTTTCGCAAATTTGTATATATTAAATCATATTCATTCATTCTGTTATGGGCAGTCAACTCAGAAGTAATCAACCATGAAAAGAAAGAAATTATGATTGAAATTAAATGATAAAATAAGAAAAACGTACAATTTTCAATTACATAACTATCCGGAAGCGTTCCTACTAAAAATGGAATGCACTTTTTTAAACTAACTGGGCCTATTTAAAAAAATAGCCGAATGGATTGTTGGTGCCATATGACTTTAGTGTTTTTATATTTTTCTAGTCAATTGGGACTATCGGTTCCAGCATATTGGTGTGGAAGATTGAATACTGCTAAAACCGGTGCTATGGGGCGGGGCATAAGATGTTGCACTTTTTTATTATTTATCACGAACAGACTCATTCGAATCGAGTCTGCAATTTTCATATAATATCATTGAATTCATTATTTTCGAGGGATCAACCCTTTCCTAGATGTTTATATGAAACTTGTGAATTTGATAAAATAACAATTTCAAAACAAATTAAATGTATACCAATGGCTGATGTAGGCATACAATCGTTCGTAAATAACTACTGAGATATATATTCCCCTTTTCTATATTCACACGATATTAACGTGTTAGATATACTTAATCATGATGACCATGCAGTTTTAGTTGGCACATTTATTTGTGACCATTTATAGATTTAGTCATCAGTAAATATAAAAAAAAATAAAATAACTAGTCCGAAAAAATGAATGTACATGACTGTATGTTTTATCTAAGGTGGATATTTACATATGTTTTGATAGACAGGTAGATTTCTTAGAAATGTTCAGATGTGTCTAAATATTGTCACAGTGCTGACCGTGTCTTGAAACTTTCTCTTCATAAGTAACTTGTGTAAGAGATAGAGTATTTTATCTTTACTATACGTAGTTTAAACAGGGTTTGATTCAAATAGTGGTTTCATATTTTGTAAGTCATACCGACATAGTAATGGAATTATGGCGACAAGCTTGATATCCTGGTGAGGAAAATACTGATGCACTTCAAGCTTTGTTTTCTGTTGGTCATTTTGGAATCTGAGTAGAATCATAAAGACCTACGAATGAGCGGTTTCACCTAACGTTAAGAAACAAAATTGTACAAGAATGAAACAATTCTGAGCCGACAGTTTTTAGACTAATAAGCTTTATGTTGTTGTTGTTGTTGCTTTTTTGTCCGAAATTATATACTTGATACAATGCTTGTAGCAATATCTGACGCTACATTTTTTTTAATTTCTGAACTTAATTCAACGAATTATTTTGATATTGACAGAATACTAAAATGCACATCTTTATTCAAGCACTTTCAAGTCTAACTTGAGGAGTTGAGCTTCACACCTGGGTCTTTCTTATGACATTGTATCAATGTGCCACACATTAATGCAATTTATTTCAAAATCTATCCAAAAATGACAGATATGGACGGGATTAAAAACGGACTGACAGGGACAAGCTCTTACTGGGAGATTTGTGAAGATGTCTGTTATCTTCATGTTTGTTTCTTACTCCAAAAGCAGCCTTTTGCCTCCCATAATCAATGATTCATCCTATAGGTCGGGGGTATACGGAATTAATCTAAAAGCCAAATTGTGATCGCAAATACCCCTAACTGACACAAGAGGACGCTCGGACAGATAGACAGACGGACAGATATTTGAGCAGGTCCCCCCTCAGGACGATAGTTTTAAAAAACATCGCAATAATTTAAAGAACATGCATTGTATTCTTAGAAGTATAAAAAACATCTAAATGACAAAAAGTGAACGCAAATATGACTCTCATTTACGTTGTATTAGGGTATAAATTGTGACCTTTTTGCACCATTATGTTTGTAGTTTTAATGGATGTTTTTCAATGCCATCGCTTGGAAGTCTTAATTAGTAATAAAAGAAAACATGCCTAGTAAAATGCCTTCTTCTGCTTGTTTACTTTAATTATAATACAATGTGTAAAACATAGGAAATTGTCCGCCATTTTGAAATCCAAGATGGCTGTCGCAATAAATTTTATTGTCTTCTCGTCCACACTTCAGCAGACTAAAATTAACAAAGCCTTAAATTAAAATGCCACAAAATGTGTATATATCTCGCCCATGGGAGAATTAAAGTAAAATTAAAAATTCAATGGCGGCCATTTTGAAATTGATTTTTAAAGGTCAAGGACTAAAAATACAGCCGTGGTAGGGCAAAAAATAAATTCAGCGTACTCAAAATAGGTAAGTAAGCCCAACTACCTGCTTGTACTAAAAAATGCCGTTAGGATGAACATTTTCCCAAAATCAAACCAGTCTAATATACGTGTACACTGTTTTCACTTGTTTATACTTGTGTTGTATTTAAGCCTATCCGAACCAGCAAACCATATATATCTTGAAATGTTTTTAAAAAAACCATATATTAACTATATGGTCTTACAAAAAAATTCCCCTGGCTTCCTTGACAATTGTGTCATTTTTACACATTTAAGACCCCCACAGAGAAGCAACGGATTTTATTCCAAGAAAAACATTTATTTATGATTGACCCGAACATTTAACTTACGAACTTCAAGATACTTCCGGATTATTCTTTTAAGCTTCAATCAATCTGTATTGTAAATTTCTTTAAAATGATTACCCCTCAAACTCGAAATTTAGCGTGTCTAAGATTGACGTACCCTACATTTTGTTTTAAAGTATACTGAAAATAAATAAACATGCGTCCCTGTTTCGGGTGTGTGACTTAATTTGAGAACTTGCCAGAACGACATTCCATTCAAATATAAATTTTGACAAATTTGCAAACAAATAACCTAGTTAGTCGATATTTACTATATTTAGTCGTATTCAGAAAGT